AGCATGCTTCAACCAAAACCCTTGAACCCCCAGACCCTTCTCAATCGCGTCCTATAACCTGAGACAGAGGATGCGCAGAGAGCTGTGGCGACATGGCTACCCTGAAGGCCTGAAGGGGTTGAGGATTTATGGGATTTCGGGTCTAATGTGTAGGGATTACCTGTGGAGCTTTCGGATGCACAGATCCTGCCTTGGTGATTGAATGAGCCCGAAAGTATGCTTCACAGACATTAAAAGGAATTACAATAATAACATTGGCAGCATAGGGTAGAGGCTCGCAATCTTTGTGTTCATTTGGTCCCCCAAGGAATCGGGGGTCTGGGCTTCGAGCGTGGATGTCGCCCAGGTGGTCTGAAACGAAGAGCTTCCGCCCCCGGTCGTCAAAGCCTTCTAAGCCATTACGCTGTCCTCCCCCGAAAGTTTGGGAACCTATTTCGTTCGCAGGGGCAAATCACAGGGGGTGGGGCATGACCCAAAACTGTTTGAAAGGCTTTCTATATAGTTCTGCAGCCCTTAGCCTAGATTATCGGAAAGGCGTACATGCAAAAAACAACATGGCCCTTCCACGAGACACGCTGGATGGTTAATAAGGTGAGTGCAGTTCAGGATCACGAAATCCCTGCGGCTCTACACAGCTACCGGCGTGGTGAGAAGCCCGTCTTGGGCACAACGCCCCTAGACCCCATTAGGCCCCAAACAAGACACGGTTCCAGGGGACCACTATCACGAGCTCCCTCCTTTCAAACAGATGTCCGATGGGTCTCTGGGGCCTTGTAATTGTAAGACGAGTCTCCATGATGTACCATTCTCCTCAACTTCATGGGAGACTACTCAAAGTCACCCAGGCCTGGGGAATGCTCATGTCAGGCCTCATAAGCCTCATTCGTAGCATGCAAAGCACCTGATTAGGATCTTTGGCGGGGATCATGTATCCAACCTCCTAAGGCTAGGCCAGTGTGCTGCCGAAGCTAACGGTCACCACCTACATGCAAGGCTCCCTACTACACAACCCAACACCTGAAGCACAGATAGGTGCCCGGCAGAAATCAGTAATCTCAGCATCTTTGTGCTGGATGACAACCTGCTACGGGCACAGTCCACATGGAGGTTGTTCTAAGCCAAGGCCTCCTTTTTCTACCAGCAGAAATTGCATCGACACCGCATACACTACAGCCGTGACCACTTCCGCGCCGAACAAGAATTTGCGAACCAGCTCAGAACTGTTGGCAGGGCAGGTGAACGTCCTACACCATGAGCCCTCTACTGTGTCATATCTGCACGCCTACTTCCTGAACCATCAACAAAACGAAACTTTCGGATTGGGGTTTACGGCTAAGGCTTCCTAAATTTCTAGGTGCCCAAGTAACGTAGGGCAAAGTCAGTTTCAATGGGATAATATTAAAGGGAATCTTATCTTTGGGCGGTGCTCAGTTTGATTTATGCTTGTTCCAACATCGAAAGGAATTCGGCGCATCAAAAAAGGGAACTACACTCCGGGATCTGGGCAGGTTTTCAGCTGATCTGAACAACTCAACACTCACCCCCACAAATCAGTCCATGAACCGCTGGGACACTCGAAGCCTTACAAATTCCACCTTCCGCTTCAAGCCCAGATGGCTTCTAGGGAGAACTTGGCGTTGAGCACCGGGGTCACTGTCTCGTTCAGGTTCTTCGGATTCGGGACTGCAAGCTGCTAGGGCATTCTGACCCTTAAGCCCTAAAGTCTTAAGCCGTAGGCCCAAAAATCCTTAGCCCGCCCATCAAAACCCTGACCCTCCCTACAAGCCAGTTCTCACAACCCAGCAAAACATCCTCTTGCTGGCCTGGATGGAGCCAGTCACCGCCTCGGCTCATAGGACCACAGGGAAGATCCCACAAAAAGGACCGTCCAGATTAAATCGGCCAAATGTGTGCCTTAATAGGTCGGGTCTCCCTCGATACTTTCTGAGTCTGAGCATTTCCTTGTGGACAAACTTATCCCGATGATTGCAATGAAACAAGAATCAGACATGCCTGAAAACTGCCTGAACACCGCTGGGAGCAGGGCATCCCAAATCTTGACAACGCTGATCGTGCCCGAGACAAACACCTGGGCAGTCATGCTTCCTTGCTCAACATATCTCAACATGTGGGTTGTGTCACATGTTGTGACCATCGGTATTGCTCAGCAGCCCTCGGCATTTACACGCCCGAGAACCAAGTCAGAAAAACAAAATGTGGGTGAGGCACTGGGCTCAAAGGGTTAAGTCCGGGGGGCGGCGTTGACAAGCTGTTCAGTGCTGTTGCTAGCCTGAGCCCAAAGCGGGCTCAGTGATACTGAGGCTCCAATTGTACCTTCTGCGTTCTGGGCACCTTTCTGGGCAGTAAAAACAGAATGACTGGACTGGGTATTGTAGAAACAGGCATTACAACTGTGGGTTATCGATTTGTGCGTATGAGGCCCGCAAAACACCTAGCCGAAACATGTTTCAATGTTTCTGGGGATATTCTGCGCATTTTTACAAGTAAGGAGGCGAGGTTGTCTGCGTCTTCAGCCGAGTACCCCCAAAACCGTCAGATGAAACCCCAAGCCCATGCCTACGCCCCTAAACCCAGACCCTTCAAACCTCGACTTGACCCAAACCCTTGAGCTTCAGCTTGAACTCGGGCGCCCCCATGTAGATATGAGCACAGTCACACCTGAAACTTACCAGCCCAAACCTCAAAGCCATTGCCTTCAGGCGCTCGTTGTAAAAGACCTGCGCTGGGATGCGCTGGGCTTTGGGGTTTTGGGGCAGTCACTTCTGCAGTGCAGAGTTTCGTGTTAAAAGCTTAGTGTAACGAGAACCTTCCATGCTCCGCACGGTGTTGGGGCAGTTTTGAGCTCGAGTTCGGCTCTACAGGAAGGACTTGGAATCTAGAAGTCTAGAACTCTCCCCAGAAGCGCCCGAAGACGCCCAAAATAACCCCCAAGATACCCTTAGGCCTTTATTGAAGATTTGCTTTTAGGGCCTTACAAGAAATCCAAATCCTCACGCGATCGACAGCTCCGGGCTTGGGCTTCAGATCGGGCCTTAATCAGAGGCTCCTCCTCAGTCGTATCTGGAATGCCAGTGTTCTGGTAGTCGAAAGCGATAAACCTGGCTCTACATCCCCTGAATGGAGAGGAAGGTTTTTGAATATGGTACGGGGTCACGGGATGCTGGGGATTTTTCCGGTCTGGCAGCTTCACTTCTTCAATTCAGAGGGGCTTGATCGACTTAGGGTACAGCGTCTTGGGGTCTGGGTGTAGGGCTTGGCGGGCTTAGAGCTTCCTGAGATTCGCGTTCCCGGTATTTATAAAGGCTAAGGGCTTTACAGAGGAGGATTGCCTTACAGCAATTGTGGAGTAGGTTTCCCTTGTTCAAAAGTACAACCTTAATCCACACCCCAAAGCAGTTTTCACAAAAAACCGTCGTACTGTGGGTTGCCACAGGGAGCTTAGGTTTTAGGGCTATGGGGGGTTCAGGTATTTCTGCCTTCAGGATTGAATTGAAGAGCCTACCAAAAGTGTTTGAGCTTGGAAGCTTCAGGGTTCATAGATTCATAGTAAGTGGGTGAGTGGGAGGACGAACTGGTGCACTCTGGCTCATGGATGCGTTCCCTGATGACCCTCTCTTCGGCGAGAAAGCTCGATGGTCAATCCAGACATGCGGCGGCATGTCAAGACTCCAGGGTGAGAGAAATCTCCGCTTTTTGTTTCCCAATTTTGGCTGCAAAACTCTTTCAGTGTCTCCTTGGGAGGTACCAGCCCGACTTGAAGGGGGTGGGTTCGTAGAGTTTCGGCTTAGTGTCCCGCCCCACCCCCCCACCCCCCCCCCCCCTTTCCCAGACAAGCTGGCCGAGGGAGCTCGCGCTCCACGACGATCACCCGCTTAGAGCTGGGGATGGAGACGAAGGCGCGGAGGATCCTTTGAAGTAGGTTCTTGAGGGCGTTCACAGGGTTTGGGGTTCAGGCCCTGAATCCCAAGCTTTAATGATAAACCTTACAATCCAATCCTCAATCTTAAGCCCTAAAACCTGGTAGGGCTACACGCTTAACGTAGGAGGACTTCTGATTGCAGCAGCTCGACAACAAAAATGCAGACCCGGCCGGGCTTCAGACGAGACTTCGTCGACATAAAAGGACTGGATCATCCTGAGCGTCGTCTGAAGCTGGCGTGTCTGCCAAAGTTGGGGCTGTCAGGCCCCCACCCTGAACCTCTGAACGGCACGTGTTGAACCTCAGATGAATCCAGCATGAACCCTAAACGGCGAATCTCTAGACCTTAAAGCCAGCTTTGGGTGGTGCAGCCTCGACTGGGGTCCGGGCTTGAGGGTTTAGTTGGTTCTAAGGCTAAGGGCTTTCCGATTCAGGACGCCAAGATTTGAAGTGCAGGCCCAAATAATGCGGTTGAAGGTTGCGAGCAGGCTGGGTCCGCGACTGGGTTCTAACGGACCAATGAAAAAGAGATATCCAAATCAAGTAGAAGAGGGAGCCCCTAAACCCTGAACCTCAGCCGTCCTTCTCTGTGACGGTTTGGGGTTTACGGGCATATCTGGTTTCGGGGCCAAGGTCAGACATGGTGTCTTTGTGCCTACAGAGACTGCAAGCCAACTCCAGTGTCTTGGGCCTACAATTTGGTGGAGGGTACCGGGACCGATACCTGGAGTTCTAGAGCACGACCCTGCCTAACAAAACTACATACACCCAAAAATGAAGGCAGACTTTGCCCTTTCTGAAAGGTTCGTTCATGCTATATACTCCAAGATTCGACGCTACTTGAAAGCTGCGCAAACAAACTGTGGCAAGTTCGCCATTCTTTCTGCTGGTATCATCTGCTCTTGGGTTCCGCTGCTGGGAAGCACTGCCTCGTGTTGTGACGTTTGTGTGGGGAAGTTTTCGGGGCAAGAGCTATACTGCAACCGAGGATATGAGCGAGGCACGGCCCAGCAGCAGCTCCTACAAAAAATGGCTATGGAGCAATTCTTGCCCCAGTCGACTACGACCAGGACCTTTTCCAAGGTCTCCACGGAGCCAAGGGCTTAATCTCCGCATCCTGCTTCTCCTCATCGTCCACCTCTTCAGGATCCCACTCATGAAGTGCGAAGTCCTCCTCCTCCTCGTCCTCTTCGTCATCCTCCGGCTCTTTGCATCTTCCGAGGCTTGTGCTGTCGCCGGTACTCGCCGGGGCCCCTTCTACTTGCCACCAGCTCCAGCGCTCACGGGAGGAACAAGGCCCATCAGCCTCACGAGTTGGCTCCCAACTCTCTTTTGGCTCAGGCGACCACCAGCTTTCCTGGATCTCCTCCTCGCCCTGCCACTTCCGCTGCCTTTTTCCAAAGGCCCGCTCCTTTGCATCTTGGAGCTTCTTCCAATCAGTCTCAGCCTTTTCCAAAGCTTTCCAGGCCCTCTTTTCTCGGCGAGCCCAGCTCGTGGTGCCCGAACCCGAAGGGCGTCCGGCCTTGTTCTTCCAAGGCCTCTGAACCTGGCTGGGCATGTTGCCCACGTTCCTTTTGCAAGGGCTCACAGCGCAAGTCCAGCACGCTGGCTATGGCTGGCTTCCTATGCCTGCACCAGAACCTACCTTGAGATACCTTGAGCCCTTTATTTCCTGCAGGCTCATGCATGCGATTTGGGCACGTGAGGGCATAGACCTGCGTTTTGCATGCGAGGCTATGTTCAGGGTGCGCATGAGTTTGAATGAAGTTCGAGGGGCCTCAAAACCTTGCTACGGAGAACTGGACATGTAGGGTGCTATGAAACTCAAAATCGAGTGTCCTCATATAAGAGGGCCATGATGTAACAGGTCACCACGCCAAAACCAAGGGACCAATTCCAAGGCAACCTAAACCTGAACCTGAACCCGCGTAGGGCACTTGATATCGGCGCTGAGAGCTCAGCTGGTATGTGCCCAAGTCCCAAGTCTTCACAAAGCCTTCCAAATCAGCGGAGACGACCTGGTTTTGTAGGGCAAAGGGTTTGCAGGGCTTAGGATTTAGGGTTAAGGCGGTTAAGGGTCAGGTCTCTAGACTGGTGTGCCGTTTTGGGGTAGCCTGAATGAAATGGGGCCGTGTTCTTACACACGTAGGGGTTGAAGGCTTCGGGTCTGTAGAGCAAAGGAGTTCGGGGGCTGCGAGCTGTTGGAATGGAGGGCTTGAAGTCTCACGGTTTTCAAGCCCTACACCTACAGCTCTAGAGGAGCCAGGCACCCTTTACCGCACATAAAAAACCTTGGCCGAAGCCCCCCAGGCCCCACAGATCAAGCCCTGTAACCCAACCTCGAGTTGCATAAAATCCACGAGACATTTCCATGACGGCCACAACCTAGCAGGCTTTCACCCCGACAGGAAATGCATGCAAGGCATGCATCCCCACAATCTAACGAATTAAACAAACCTAACTCCTGAACCCCAACCCTCGACGCCCAGACAACGCTATAAGCCCCAATCCGCAACCACACAATCATAAACACCTCTGATACCCAAGCCAGACACCTACCTTTAATACAAACCCTAAGCCCTGCACAAACCCAAAGCCCTAAACCCAAAGCCGTTGTAAACTCTGGCCCTGCCCTAAACTCTAAATCTTGCATGCAATCCTGCCTGGTTCGAAGCAGCTCCCAGGACTTCGATGCCGACGACTGGGGCTCCGTGCCCCTGGGCTTTCTTGGGGTTTAGGGCCGTTTGGGGATGTAAGCCCAGGCCCGTGAAGTTTAGGAAACGCAGCAGGACCCCGGCCCAGCACAGCACAGGCCCGGCCCAGCACAGCACAGGAGGGCGTGGGCTACACAGCAGGAATCTGGAATGCGACCAGCCTGAACCGCCTCCGAGCCTGCAGTTTTTTGTTAGGGTATTTGTTGGGCCTTTGGAGTTTCATTGGTGTTTAGGGCATCACGTCTGACTCAGCCCTGCGCGTGGATCGTATGGATCGACTTGCCCACATATGGGTTCCAGACCTCAGTGCCGGAACCGTGCTAGCAGTTGGGTGTGGGTCTCGCGGCGTTGCGGAGTAGTACTCAATCCCAAACCCGACGCCCTGTCAAGGAGATGAATAACAGTCCTCGAAATAGAGGCAAGTGGCAAACAGATTGTAGTCGTAGCCGCCGGTGACGAGAACTTTCGTCGACGTGGCGAAAGCCATGCATCGGACCTGAGACAGGAGACAAGTTCAGCGGGCGAGACCCTGGTACTCCTTAGCTGTCTAGTCACCACAGCAAAGGCCAATCTCCAAAAAAAGAACCATAAACCCTAAGCCCCACAGCCTCCTAAACACCAGCACAACAAGCACAAGCCCTGAGCAGTTGGACTGCCTGAGGTTTGGTCGGGCTTGAGCCTCTAAGCTCTAGGACTAGACTCGAAAGAGGGTTGAGGGCTTTAAGGGCTCAGGGCGAGAAGCACAGAGACGCCTCGGTAGAACAGCTGTTTACTTTCCTTTTCCTTGTCATTTCATATCAGCCTATTTCTGGGGTCATGTTCGGGTTCGTTTTGCCCGTCCAAAGTCCTACATGCTCGCCGAAATAGCCTAGCCTAAGGTTCCATCTAATTACGGTACGTGCCCTCAAAGGGACCATGCAGAACTACCCAAGCAGGTTCTACGTCCCCTAAAATCTCCTCCTCCCAGTACAGGCCAAGACCCAGACAATCTCCAAAATACCCTCTTAAACGTTTGGGGTTTACCTGCACCCCCCCGTCCCCCCCAAGCACGGTAATTAGGTCATCTGAGGGAACACGTGAATTAGGCTTGTGAGGCTTGCCTTACAGTTGAGTGTTGGGGTGAAACGTTGAAGGGCTTTCACGGTGCTACAGGGTCGTAATTAGGGTGGGGGGGCGTTTTTTTAACAGTTCAGGGCCCTCTTCTTACCACGGGATCAGGGCTATGGCTTGGGGCGCTGTAGGGGCCTCGGCCAGCCATACATCTTAAGAACCACAGTGCCACAAGCAAAAACCTGATGCCTTGTGTTAACCCTGAACCCCCAAGTGCCCGGCAAAAATAGAATTTGTGCTTTTGGGCAGTTCATGGGGATCGTTTTAATAAACAAGGCTACCGAACTAGGCTCGTTTTAAGGGCCTTGTTGAGCAGAAATTTTTCTGAGGCTCCAGGCACCCATCTTGTGTCCTCGCAAGGTGTTCTTGTAGATGCCAGTGAAGACCTAAAGGAACACCGGGCTTTGTAGGGTTTGCGGCTTCAGGGGATAGGCTTTAGGGGTTGCAGTTTTCGGTGGCCTTATCGGGTTTAGGGTCTCTGGTCTGGACTAGGGGGCTGCAGGTTCTGCACCTGAAATAAATTTCTGGGTCCTGGACACTTCGAGTGGAGCCGTGGGGGTGTGAGGGAGGTGCGAGTCGGAGCAGAGAAGGGGTCGAGTTGAGGGCCTTAGGGTTTACAGTGTGCCCCATACACTGGGTGCGCAGCATCCCAAGTCATCACCTTGGCGCGTCTGTGGTCCGGGTGTTTTTAAGGTGCTGATGAAGAAATTCGGAGGGGTGGGCTGTGGGGGCTGCATCGGAGCAAAAAACATCTAAAATCTAGCGGCCCGTTAATATGGTGTCTTACATTCTTAAATAGTTCTGAAGTTTTCGGTTGTATAGGAGGTATATAAGGGCCTACTCTTAACGCATGTGATGGATATTGGCTTGAGAACAACCATCCTCGCTCCGTGGACTTGCAGTGCTCTTCTAGAAGCGGACCCTACCCAGCCTCACAAGGAAAACCCTGCTCTCCCTAATCGTAGTTCCCTGTTCTGGGTACCAGACTTGTTTTCTGCATTGTCGATCCGTACAAATACGTACCCAAAGGAAAAGAGCTTCATTCGTGCTTGCTTGTGGGCCTAGGTATAACGGAAGTTTAACTCGTAGCGGTTATGAGTCAAGCTACAGTACAAGGCATGGCCCCTGACTATGCTCACCATCGCAAAGTCTAGAGCCCCGCGCAACTTAGAGTGGCCGATGCTCTCTTCAAAAGGATGCATTGGCCTTTCTTAAAAGGGTATATATTACTAAAACGAACTAAGACCCAAAACAGCAAAACCCTAAGAACGACATTTCAAGAGAAGATAGGAATTATCCAGCCCTCTCAAGCTCGGAGCCTCAACCCAAAACCTTTCGGACTTCTCAAAAAAACGCTCCTCTTTTCTTTGTTCGCCTGCGCTTTTGCGATCTCTCACGAACTCAGCTTCGCCCGCTTCTCCGAGGGTGGTGCAGGCGTCACGCCCTGAGGTTGGGGGGGCAAGCCTTGTAAGCACAAGGGCCTGAGGGTGCCTAAGGGTACCGTGTAGACTGCCTAGCAATGCACTCATAACCTAAGACAAGACCTTGTGTTTTGAGGACTCTTACTTTAGGGTCTCGGGCGGAACCTACATAGTGCAGTACACAACAGACCAAGCCCTAGGGCTTTTGGGCAGCGCAGCGATGTTTCAAGGCGATGTTCGGCCGAAGGGAGGGGGGTTGATGGGCTTTGGGGTGAGCAGCAAACCCTCAGATCCCAACTTGCAACTTGGTTGAAAGACATCTCAAGCTTAAACTTAGACCTAAGCGCAATAACCTTAAACCACTGAAATGCTCAGCTTTCTCCCTTTGTCTTGGGCAGCACCCCGAAGATAACAATAACCAAACGTTAAGGGCATTTAATACCCCAGGCAAGGTTGCAGTGCCCTCCTCGTCGCCGCCGGGTGGTGTTTTGCAGGGCACCCGGAAGCACACGCAGAACCTCATGCGGGGCTAGGGGTGTAGCGTCTAAGGTCTGGAGTGTCGAGGGTTGAGGCTCTATGGTCACATGTCTTTGATTCATTCATTGGGCAAATGCGGAAATTGAAACATGGTCCAACTTGGTGCCCCAAACAGGCTTCGTGGATTGTCTTGCATTGTCAATTGCTGCGTTTGCACTACCGAGTCTCTTTTTTCTAGGTGGCGTGTATCAGAACTTCCCGCATCAGGTCTGGGACTTTCTTAGCATTGCAAATAGGGCCAAGTCGCATGTGCCGGGTTGGCGCCACATTCCGCACCAAGCGAACGGCCACCGGCGTGCAGCCTGGCGATCGCACCCCTTGTGGACGACACGAACAACCTACCCCAGCCCAGGACTAAACCTTAAAGGGCAAGCCCCGAAATTATGTCAGGCAAATCCTGTAAAGCCTTTCGCTTTTTGGGGCACAGGCGACTAGTTGAACGTACTATGGGCCCCACGTCGAAAGTGCCTCGCACCACCAACGACTCAGACCGGGTGAAGAGGTAGGGGGAGTTTAGATTCTAGCTCAAACTACCTGCTCTTTGAAGGGGATCTGGGTCTGTAGAACAAGGAGCAATGCAGCTCCTGGAGATTTGCAAGCACTTGATCCCTAAGCCCTGACAAATGCCAAGACAACCCAAAACGCCACACGAAAAGCAAAAACAGACCCCCGCCACCCCTGACGGCAACCCGAACCCCATGTCTGAGTCGTTCGTCCCCAATTACAGCGCATTAGAGGCAGTACATTCATTCAGGGCACAAAGGGCACGTGGTGTAGAAACCGCCCGAAAGCCAACCCCCACACAAACAACCTCCCCTGGAACCCACGAGATGCGCCCAACTCAGAGGAGGATCGACCTTGAGAGGCCTCTCCAAGGGCTTGCTGTACCTCTGGCAGTTTAGGGTTCGAAGGTTCTAGGGTTTAACGTTTTTAGGGTTGAGGGCTTTTGGGGCTTTATGGTTCTTGGAGTTTTTAAAGTTACATGGTTCAGGGCTTTAGGGTTCTGGGGTCTAGGGCTTCGGTGAGTCGGAGAGGTAGGAGTAGCTGGAGTAGTAGGAGCAATAAAGTAGTAGTAAGGGAAGTGACAGGCATAATTAGCATCTGTGGCAGGAGAAGAACTAGTAGATATGAAAGACGCAAAGCCTCCAGAGCCCTCGCCCCGTTTTAAAAGAAACCCTTAAACCCTCAACCCCCCCACGCCGGTCCCCTCAACAGAAAAACGCATACGAACACTAGACCTTAGCCCTGGGCTCAGTTCAGCGCAAGGAGCCATCTCGTTAATCTGCGGCGATGGCAGCGATACTTGGCCCTTGAGCGCGACGTCGGCGCACCGCAGCGACTCCTCTTCCAGGACCCTCGAGGATTAGGGTTTAGGGTTTAGACGGTTTAGAGATAGGGTTTAGGGTCTCCACAAAGTGCCCATACACTTGTCAGTGGCCTTTTGCTTAGGCAATCTCGGGATATGGTTATTGAAAAACACCGAGCGCAACGCTTAAGCTTAAGAATCCTACAGGCCACACCCAACCCTACGGGCCGTCATTGACGAAAAACTTCACGGCCGTAGGGTTGTCAGGCATGGTTCAAGGTTTAGGGATTCGTTGGGGTTCTTATGATCGAATTGTAATGGGCTTCTATAAGGCCATCGCTGTTTCAGGTAGTGATCGTTTGGCACGGTGGCTCGTTGGAGCTTCCGTGGTAGTAGGTTCTGACAGATTGGGGTTTGGGTTGTTTTCAGCCTCGAGGCTTAGGCATGAGTGGGGGGGGGGGGGGGGATGAGGTCAGCAAGTTGCTTTTCTTGTCAGATGTGGAACTCCAGGAAAACCAGGCAAGGCCACACCAACGACACGACATCATTGAACCTCAAGGCTAGACTCGACAAAAAGTAGGAAACCCCTAATCCTTGTAGACCCTCAACCCTAAAATCCTTTGTTCAGAACACATAGGTTCCTCTAGGTATGGCTTCAAGGTGGTGTCCTTGGCTGTGCCCAAAGCGGCAGCAAGCCGCATAAGCCTGCTCAGAACTGTTCGGGTTAGGGCTTAGGAGCTTGGGTCTACGGGTTCCGGCCTGAGGGTTTTGAGCTCAGGAGTACGCAAATTTGAGGTTAGGTGTCAGGCTAAGGGTTTGGGGGCTTGGGATGTTGGCGCGGGCAAGCTTCAGGACTTGAGGGCAGCTCCAAAGTTAGAATTGTCCACAAGTACGTAAATATGAACAAATCAACACGAATATTATTTATATGTATATATGATTACAACATTAAACTCAGAATGTTCATCAAAAAACAAAACACTACTTGATACATATGTTGTTCTAAAGGACGTCTATATGATGGAGATTGGGAAAAGAGCCCCTTAAAAAATTCTTATTCCGAAGAAAGTCTACCTTGTGGCAATTTTTGGGACAAGTATATTGAACTTGAACACACTGTATGTGGTGTATATATAGACACATTGATATCTGCATATCTCTCTGCATTTCTTTTTTTATACATAGAGGCAGATATCTGTGTGTGTGCGCGCGTGTGCGCGTGTATGCGCATGCATGTATGTACGTACATATGTACATGTATATGCTTGCATAGCTCTTTCGAGTTCATGTTTGCAGGTATTCGGGGAGCCGACTTTGGGTGCAGGAGATGATCGAGGTATGGAAACATGCTTTCGGGATGCTGGCTTCAGATTTGGGTGGAAGGTTGGAGTGCAGTAAGAAACCGGTTTGCAGCTAGACCATGCGCTGAACGATTCCGTTTAAATATGCCGATTGCGTCCAAACCCTCTATGGGCGCAAAAGCTCAATTGCACCCTACACAGCGAGTTTCCTACTAAACTCTAAGTATAGCTGAAGCTACAGCCACAAAGCCCATGTTCATCATTCCCAAACGCTAAACTGCACAAAGTCCAGGAACTTGGGGGTTGATCCAAATTCTGCCCGTTCGGGGGTCTCCATAAAAGCAATCTATTCTTTAGGACACTCATAAAGAAGGCCCAACACTTGCGACCTAAACCCTAAAAAGACCCTATGGACAGCCATTTCAGACCAAGTGACAAGTCGGCTACGCAGCCGTCACTGCCAGACGAGTCGACTGCAGCATCGCTGAAAGTGTAGCAGCAGACCTGGGGGTCAGGGTTTAGGGTTTCAGGCGTGGCTGTTTCGCCTTTTGGTGCGTTTTGCAGTATGAAATCTCATGTTGAAGATGGACACCTGGCTCCGGTTCTCCGGTGAGGCAAGCATCAAACACTGGTAGCAAGCTCAAGCAAACAGTATGATGTCAGGATGGGACCATTTGGCTGCAACGTGACTGACTCCATGAAGCCCAACTTCTTGATGATGCATGGGCTTTCCAGGTACAAATGGTTGCGAACCGCTGTCCGTCAGCAGCAAATTGAAACGAATTTATATTGCAGTCCTGGGTCACAAATTGCCCGCAACATCTTCGCGGCCACAGTCACCCCGCAGACATACCCCTCGTGAACGGAACCATTGACGCCTCGCCCCAACGTGCAGCCAGTCGAACCCTGGAGCTCCATCTGGCCACGCCAATCTCAAGTCTTGGGGCTCGAACGACGGCGACCGACTTGAAGCTTAAGTTCGCCTGGCTCGTCCATTGCGTTGAAGGCACGCTGCCTGCGATTCGCATCAAACACGAAAATGGCGACCTCTACGTTCCCCGGGAACAGGAACTGGAGATGCTGCTCCCTTGTCCGGTTGGCCATGCGAGCAGAAAACCAGTGGCTTGGGATGAGGGAATCTGCGAGGATTCTGCCCGCATTCCAAGGGTCGATGGGCACAGACATGATTCAAACGAGTTGGTAACATACCCCTGCCCTAGGCAGGGAGGTCCTGTCTGGGCATGTGCGTGATGCTTCCCCCCCGACGAATAACAACCCGTATTCTAAACTATCATGCTGTCTGGTGATCGAGCCTTCCAAAACCGGGAACGTAGAGACTGAAACAGGGTTTATTGTTCCAGGGTTTAGAAGTTTGTAAGCTGCGAGCCCAGCAGCCCAGCAGTTCTCCAGGCTCTGTGGGTTAGGGCTTCATTGAGAGCGAGCCGCCCTTCCTCAATTTTCTCTATATTCCCAAAATGTTTTTATTTTTGTTGTAACTTTATTGCGGAAATTCGGGGTATGTTCCAAGATCCCTGCTGTGGGCAGCTTTTCAGGGTTTATAGGCTGATAGGGCCTCCGAGAAAGGTCTGGAAGAGGGCCGGGGAGAAGGGGGGGTGTAACGGGATAACCGGGGTTACATTTCAGGGTTTGGGGTTCCTGTCCAGAGCATCAGCAGGGATCAGGCAGCGAAGTCTGGGTGAGGGGGGCTTCGAGGCCCTCAGTTTTCGTGGCATTTGTTTCAAGGTGTTTATGGGTTTGCCTATGGTGCGTGTGATGGCATTGTGGTTGCGTGTTTTTTGGGAAAGCTGTCTTCAGCGTGGTTGGTGTCCTGTTGCAAGCGGTGTTTTTATGTAGTCTGAATGCAACTCAGGACGGTGCAGTAATACATGTACATGCAATATAGTTTCAATGAAATTGCAACTATATTGTATGAGCTCAGGCTGTGGGGGCACTCTCCGGGTTTTCATACAGTATGTGAATGATGCAGCTCGGGGCATCCCACATCATGGCACCAACAGCTATGGCACTGAACCTTACTACCACGTCCGAAATTTGGGGTAGTCGTCGGCTCTGTGCATTCTATGGTTCTGCTTTATTCAAAGGCCTGCCAAGATGCCAATGGTGTTGGCAACCCTGCCGCAGTGTAATCCTGCGGGGTGTTTGGCACAGACTTTTCTCAACCAGTCCTCCCTCCAAAGGGTTGACCGCAAGTAGTACGGAGTATTTGGGCCTGCTCTTTTCGTGGGGGACATGGGAGCCCCGGATGAGTTTTGGGCTTGCGCTCGGAACCCTGGGAGGAACTTTAGAACACCAGTGGACGGTTCAGCGGCTGTCAGCCCACGGCATATCAGACCCGCAATGGTAGTTCCTTTCTAACGGTTCGTACGACGAAACAATCGGGACCAAACGATGAGAGAAATGCAGTTCGGGGGCGAGGGAGGCTCTTGATTGAAAGACGCCTGGTGCGCAAGCTACTGAAACACCCCAGACCCAGTTGCTCTGAAGGAAGTTACCACATAAACAACGAATTGTGTATCGTCATTTCCTTTCGCAACAGCACACCCCACACCACCAGCTGAGCTCCAAAGCCTACTATACCCCCAGTTGCCCCTAAGACCCTAGAGCCCTAAAACCCTTACTCCCACAACCGCCTAAACACCAAGCCCCCAGACCCTTGAACGCCCAAAATCTTTATCAGCAACCCAGCAAGTCAGTCCAGCCCGCGGAAGCAGTCAAGCAGCTCAACCCCGGCCGCTGGGAGGTTGAACACTGCATGTGTCACCTCTGGTACGGATCCCTAGGGTCGGAGTTGAAGTTTAGGGTTCATAGAATCAAGGGTTGAAAGGATTTAGGGGTTAGGGTTTAGGCACCCCAGCAAAGGGAGATAAGCAAACAGCTAACTGCCCTTCTCTGCCGCACCCTCAAAGACGAGGCACAGGGTGCCGCTGCTGGAACAGGTTGCGGATGAACTGCCTCGCATCGCCTCTGGCGGTCTTCCATAAACCCTATAGACTCTAAAGGTCATAAATCGTAGGAAACCCTAACTGCCCTAACCCGATCCCTACCCAACCCCATCGCCCTAAACCCGAAACCCTAGAGCCCAAACCCTATCTAAACTCCCCCGATGCTGCAGTCGTCCCGCCTGGCTCGTGGATGACGAGCAAGGACCCCATGCTGGGTGCTTCAAAGGACTCGTTAAAATGTGGCAGCTGCGCGATCTCGAGGACCTGGGCTTCTGAGGGGTCTTCCCTTGGTCTCCATTGCATTTCTATGTTCGGAACTGGGGGTTAACGGGGTTTATATGGGGCTGAGGGACGAGAATCACAAGCCTTGAACACCAACCAGGCCGCCGCAGCACCCTACCTCCTGCACGCCTCAACCTGTTAAGTGGACCGAAAGCTAGCAGAACGGGGGTATATTGGAGAGTACCTTGGAAAAGCTGGAACCTGACATCTACCTAGACCAATCATTGTGGCTCCTACTCTGGGGTACCTAGTAGTGTGCCTGAATCGTTTACCGGTAGTAAAAGAAAACACACCGGGTAAAACTAGAAGGAGCTAGAATTAGGCGTCCAGGCACACTGTGGGTATCCAACCCTCCACTCCTGTCGATTACTTGGGCGACGGCATGTTCTTCCATCTTGTTGAGCTGCACGCTCTTACCTGGGTTTATGGTTTAGGGTTTCTCTCTTGGGGTTAGGGCCCCGATATTCACGTGCAAGGGTGTGAGGTCGACTTGAGCAGGAGCATTGGGGTTGATGGCGATGAACTTGGCTCAAAGGCGAAGAGGGCAAGAAGGATGTTGCACTTTCGCGGCGGAGGAGAAATGCTTGGCAGCCAAGCTGGTGAGTTGAGTCTTCAGGGGCCTTTAGGGTTCATTGGAGTTAGGGCTTGGGGTTTCGGATTCAGGGTTCCATCCCTAAGTTCTGAGGTCTGACCGTCGCCAGGCTTAGGACGCTGCCTGAGGAACTTCACACCAACTTCCTTCTGCCACGAGGTGGCCAGAATTCCTCATCACCCACACCCTCCCTGCTACATCCACTCAGGTAGCCCAATAACTACTGTCTAACTTCCACCCGAGAGTCCGATGGAATATAATTCAGAGTTTAGGGGCCTACCTGCGTTCCGAATGACTTACTTGTTGTGGGGAGTGAAAATCCACTGCTATTTTGGGGCTCTTGGGGTTCTCGCGAAGAAAAGTTGCAGACTTTGAGATTTCAGGCTGACTGACCCCAAAGCCCCAATCCTGCAAGCCTTCACCGCCTGTAAACTCAACTAGGTCCTGGACTCCGAAAGCCTGCAAGCCGTCTAAGCCACTTTCTAAACACTAGGAACCCTAAACCCAAGACCCTAAACTCTCATTAGCCCGAAAACTAAAGCCTCAAACCTGCGCAGCATCAAAGTGCAGCCGAAGTGCGAAGCCAATGGATAGACGCAGGGTTCAGGTCCTTGCGAGGACAGAAATCTTAACCAATATGGGGATCTTTACCCCTTTTGCTAGAGGGCATGTTTTGGTTCCTCCGAGTATTCGCTTCGGCTTTTCGGGTACTCACGATCAGTGCCGTATTCTTATGCTGCAACTGAACTCTATAATTGTAACGGTCTAGTCTAGACAAGCGCCCTATACATTGCAGCCAGGGAGCGTTTGCATGGCTCACGACGCCATTGACGAGTTTCGCGATGGGCAAAGAGAAGGGGCCGACCTAGCTGAAGGTGTCGGGTTTAGGCGTTTAGCGGTTTTGAAATTGTGGCACATCTACTATACCCAGTGCTATGCTTAGCCACACATGCCGGGAAAGCTACGCGCCCACATCCTAGAGATATAAGCTTGCTGCACAACGCCTGTTCCAGGACTGCTCTGGAGTAGCCAAACCCAAAATGCTGCTGAAGCTTTGCTTTCGATACTTTACTCTTGCCTAACTCACAGAGCTCATCCGTAGCTCTCATGAACCTTCGAGTACTGCACATGAGCCCTAGGCCCCAAGATCCAAGCCCCTAAGCCCGAATCTACAAGATGTTGTCTAAGAACTTCACCTAGCTCGGGTTACCCGGCTTTCCAAGGACATGGCAGATTCCGGAAAATAGGTGTTTCGGGGGTTGAGAGTTATACCTCAACTCTGCCAGGTGCCCCGAGCAGGTGCCTAAATACCCTGTTTTGGTGTTGATATAACTCTACAATATACACTAGATTATTGAGGTGCTTTGGCGGACTTTGCGTAAGGCGGGTCGAGTGACTGTCAACATGGGTTGTTATCACGGTCTCTGGTGGCACGTGGGGGTGCTGGAATTCGAAGACGACCACGGGTTCTGAAGCGCCTGCCGGCACATGGCACTTGGCAGCAGCTGCTTCGTATCACTCTCCATCAGAACATCTTCTCGTAGAACTCCCGGCCACCAGGATCATCAACTGTAGCTCGGCATGGCAATGGTGCGCGGATGTTCTGCCAAGGTTCATGTGCTCACGCTCGCACAAGGCAGGTCAGGTCTGCCATGGTTCAGGGCTTTGGGCGCTACAGGGCTTTAGCGTCTCGACGATCATGGAAGGGAGGGCTCCAGCGTTTTCAGGTTTAGGGTTTAAGGTTCCGAAGGGACAAATCCCCGAGAAACCTAACAGTGACTCTGTCCGAGCTGCTCCGCATGTACAGTCAGCCAGCACAGGCTTTGCAGAGGCAGCATTCTTTGGCCTTGGCCCCAAGCACTAAGCCATGCAGAATCCAATCATAACTCAGCCACGAAAGAAGCACCGAAGTGTGCACCCTAACTACACCCTGTAAAGCCCCTCTAATCTCTATATAATCCCTACATCTAAGCTCCAAATCCTACAGCGGAGTCGTAAATCGCTGCACTACGTACACCCTAACCCCTGAACCATTGCAGCTGCCGTAACCGCCAATCCAGGCTAGCGGCTGCATGAACAAAGCCTCTATGAGACGCCCGTGCTCCTGATCGAGACGGCAATTGGGGATTAGGGCTGTTAAGGGTTTGTAAGGCCTTACAAAGTTTTATAAGGTTGGCAATACGCAAACTACAACATCGAATATAACCCTAGCATCTATAAAGGACCACAAATACTCACTCATTACACCACTCCCCCTTTAAGCGCCAGCAACTCATCATCCAACCCAGAACCCAAACCCTCAGCCCTCGACCACATGGTTGGGGCTTGGGAGTGAAGACGGGCAAACACTACAACATTTGTAGGTTTAATTTCCGATCCGAAACCCTAATCCCTAAGCCCTAAACCCTACAGACCCCAAGCCCCAAGGTTGGGATTTTGCTTTCAGTCTGTGGGTCCTCCTGCAGTCGCGAGTTCCAGTACACGTCCCGGTACTCGAACCTTAGATCGGGAATGGACATTCAACCCCAACTCCTGAACCGTGACCCCTTTCAATCATGAAACCCAGCAACCCCGACCAGAAAACTCGGTTCCCCGACCAAAGAGATCCTAACCTTAAAACACATGTTTCAAAGGGAACGCCTATTAAACCCTATAAACATGTATCATTAAACCCTAACAGGCTAGACACTATGAACCTTTGGCAAGTCATGGGTGTGTTCGAACCAAGAAGCTCGAAGAAGCATTGGTGCTCCTTGAGCCTCACAACCGTGGACTTCGCGCCTCAAGGTTTCGAGTTTCGGGGGTTCGGGGCTCAAGGGCAAGGGTTTTGGAATCGCAAAGGCCTGGGGCGCTGGGTTCTTGGGGCGGGGCTCGTGGTTAACGGTTGTACAGAGCTTCGGATGTTTTAAGGGTTAAGGGACCAGGGTTGCAAGTTTAGGGGTTGCGGGTACAGAGTTCAGCTTTCAGTACCCGAATCATCCCGACTCCAACCTCCACTCTTCAAGAAGCTTCTCCGCACTCAAAAACACCCGTTAGATTCATGTACGTTTACCGGATGTTTACGAGTAGGAGTAGCAGTAGGATAGTAGTAGTAGTAGTCGTCGTCGTCGCAGCAGCAGCAGCAGGATTAGGATTAGGATTAGGATTAGGATTAGGAGTAGGAGTAGGAGTAGGAGTAGGAGTAGGAGTAGGAGTAGGAGTAGTAGTAGTAGTAGTAGTAGTAGTAGTAGTAGTAATAGTAGTAGTAGTGGAAGCAAGACCTCCAAAACGGGCTAAAATAATGGATAGATGCAACCCCGAGAATTTCAGCGTCCCTAAACCCTCAACCCAGTGCCTGCCAGGTGCTCCATGGGGAACGTCCGAAACTCCTTGCATGTACTGGCAGTTTCGGGTTTAGGGTTCAGAGTCCTGGGCATGGGGCCTTACCACTTTTGGGGCTTTGGGTTTGAGGTCCTCCTTCAGGCTCTGGGGCTAAACAGATTCCTGTCTGCAGAGGGCGTGTTGTAACCGCGTCAAGGGGTGTAATTTGTAACCACGCCAAGCGTTTTTGTTACCACGACCCGCGTTTTCGTGTTTACCTTGACAAGCAGTATGCTCGCCTGTTTTTCGCAAGCCCAGGAGCCGCAACTGCACTGGGGTCGCTTGAAGAGGGACGGGCAGGTAAACAGTCTGTTTACGGCCTGGCCCTGCCTGAAACACCACTAGTAGGCCTTGGAGACCTTCAAAAGGACCTTTTAGGGAGGCCTGGAAGCTTTGGGGGCGAGAGTAATAGGGACGGTAAACAGACTAGCTTCCCTGAGCTCCCTTGTCTGTTTACGGCCTGCCTGAAAGGCCATGAGTAGGCCTCGGAGACCTTCAAGAGGACCTTTTAGGGAGGTCTCTGGAAGCTTTGGAAGGAAGGGATGGTAAACAGACTGGTTTCCCTTGCAGCTCCTGGTCTAGGCCTTGGAGACCTCCAAAAGGACCGTTTAGGGAAGTCTGAGGGACGGTAAACAGACTAGCTTTTGTGGCAGCTCCCTAGTCTATTTACGGCCTGGGTCTGCCTGGGAGGCCATGAGAAGGCCTTGGAGACCTTCAAAAGGACCTTCTGGCTCCCGAGTCTGTCTACGGCCTGGCCCTGCCTGGGAGGCCATTAGAAGGCCTTGGAGACCTTCAAAGGACCTTTTAGGTAGGTCTGGAAGCTTTGGGGGCGAGAGAAGGGACGGTAACTGGCTTGCTCTGGCAGCTCCCTAGTCTGTTTATGTGCCTGGGACCCTGGGAGGCAATTAGTAGGCCTTGGAGACCTTTTGGGGAGGTCTGGAAGCTTTGGGGGCGAGAAAAGGGACGGTAAACAAACTGACCTTTCAAGGAGGTCTGGAAGCTTTGAAAGACGAGAGAAAGGACGGTAAACAGAGCAGCTTTTCTGGCAGCTCCCTAGTCTGTTTACGGCCTGGCCCTGCCTGGGAGGTCTGGAAGCTTGGGGGGCGAGAGAAGGGACGGTAAACATCTCTGGCAGCTCCCTAGTCTGTTTACGGCCTGGCCCTGGAAGGCCTGGGAGCTTTAAAAGGACTTTTTAGGTAGGTCCGGAAGCTTTGGAGGCGAGAGAAGGGACGGTGACTGGCTTCCTCTGGCAGCTCCCTAGTCTGTTCACGTGCCTGGGACCCTGGGAAGCAATGAGACCTTTTCGGGAGGTCTGGAAGCTTTGGGGGCGAGAAAAGGGACGGTAAACAGACTAGCTTCCCTGACAGCTCCCTAGTCTGTTTACGGCCTGGCCCTGCCTGGGAGGCCATTAGTAGGCCTTGGAGACCTTCAAAAGGACCTTTTAGGGAGGTCTGGAAGCTTTGGGGGACGAGAGAAAGGACGGTAAACAGAGCAGCTTTTCTGGCAGCTCCCTAGTCTGTTTACGGCCTGGCCCTGCCTGGGAGGTCTGGAAGCTTGGGGGGGCGAGAGAAGGGACGGTAAACATCTCTGGCAGCTCCCTAGTCTGTTTACGGCCTGGCCCTGCCTGGGAGGCCTGGGAGCTTTACTGGGGGCGAGAGAAGGGACGGTGCACAGACTAGCTTCCCTGGCAGCTCCCTAGTCTGTTTACGGCCTGGCCCTGCCTGGGAGGCACTTAGAAGGAAGCCCAAATGGCTGCAGTGTGTGTCTTCCATAAGAACTCACTCTTGTCATGTTAATCTATAACGGGCTTGTCCCTGTAACGCATGGTCTGTGTCACTGCAACCCAACACCTGTCACGGTTACGTATGCCCCTATCCTGTGTGGTTGCATTGGATTCAAGTTTGGGGGCTTCGCCGGGTATCGTTTCGACCTTCTTAAGGATTTGGGTTTCACAAGAGTTTAGGGCTTGGGGCTTAGGGGTTTGCAGCTTGTCGGGTTTCTGGTTTGGGGATGCTTCGGATTGAGGCTTAGGGCTTCGATACCCTCGAGTTAGGATCCAAATAATCGATAACCTTAAACTTACATCTGCTTACTTGTGAGATTATGCACAGAAATTGGCCCTCTTCCTGAAACCTAAACCCTAGGCCTGCCAGGCATCGGTTTCTATCTTGCCGGTCTTGTTGACCACGGTCTTGATCTGGGCAGCTCATTAACATTAAGGTCTAAGACTATGAGGGTGCAAGTCCGTAGGCTGTGAGCCCTGAACTCTAAGCGTCCTACCGTTTGAAGGGGGAGTGGAGCACTCTTTCGCAATCCCTATGTACTTCAGTCATAGTATCCAAACTCCCTCCCCCAATTCCACCTCCTCAAAAAGACTTTCAGCTGGAGGAGACGTGGTTAAGGGTTTAGGGTCTTAGGGCTTAGGGATACATACGGCCAGGGCAACCTTGCGGTTTGACAGGCTTATGGAAACACCGGGCATCCTGCAGACTTGTTCTTGTCCAGGATGACCTGGCCCGAGCCGAAATCCGAAACCTTGTGAAACCCCAAACCCGGCACCCTAAATCCAAAACTGGCTCAGTCCCACCTAATATTTACCCCCCTAGGAAACATCAAAGCAAGGGGCACCCATCTGCTTTGTTGAGTATTGGTACTAAGGGACCAGGAAAAGGATCATCCCCAAGGCACACCATTTCATCTTAACGTAGAAGCCTGATCCAAAAGGACCGTGAACCCTAAACCCGAAACCCGGCTAAATTCCCCAACCCCCTGAACTTAAGCCTAAACTTAAAAATTCTAAACCCTGATTCATCCTAAACCCTAAGCCATAAACGTTAAACTGCAAACCCTCACTCCAAAACCTGACCCTATCCAAACTGCAAAGCTTGTTTAGAACAAAAGTGCATGACAAAGACAGAGCCGCCTGCCCGATGAGGTGCTTGTATGGCAGCTGCGAGTCCTGTGTCTGGGTTGAAGCACAGGGCTGAGTTCTTTATGGTCCCTTGGTTACAGGCACTTTGCTTCTACAAGCAGCTCGAATATAGAGATACCTGGGGCGTATGGTTTACCACAGCCCCCAGTGGCATTGTTGGATGTCGGCGCTGATGGTTTTAGGCATTAACTGATGTTAGGGGACCCGAACTCCCAAACCCTCAACCCTAAACTCTGCACTTCAAGCCCTTGCGAGGGCCAAGTGGAGCCAGAAAGATCTTGACGGGCTTCATGCCTCCTTTCCTTTAGGCCTGCGACTTGTTCTCAAAACCTGAAGCCCAATCTGCTCAACCCCCGCAACTTAGCTATGGGAGCTGGTTAAAAGCCAAAAGCAACAAAGCCCAAACCCTCAACGATCCACCACACGAACGAAGCGCGGCCAAGCGTCTCGCAGGTTCATGTGGGCAATGTGGCCGGCCTGCTAAGTTCATCCAGGAGATGTGGTACTTCGGGCTCCAAGGTTTAGGGTTCACGGCCCTTACAAACGTCAAACCCTGCCCTAAAACTCGAAACGGGAAACCCTCACACCCTCAACCCGCAACCCTGGAACCCAAAAGCTCTCAACCCTGGAAACGAAACGCCAGAAATCCTTGACCCCCAAATAACCTCAAAAGCTCTCCAAGAGCAAAATTGAAACCCTCAACCAATAAAACCCGTAGTAAACTATAACGACCATACAACGCTTAAGACCTTAAAGCCTCAAGCCCAAAACCCAGATCCTCAAAACCCTAGAGCCCCTGAAAGCCCTCCAATCACCCCCTGAGTCAAACTCTCAACGCCCTAACCCGCAGAAGATCCTGAACCTCTCAAACCCTCGCCATCTAAAACTCTAACCCCTAAAAACTTCAACACGCCCTCAAAGCCCTAATGCCCCCAAAGCGTTACTTGTACCCTGAACCATGATCAGGGGCTGAGGGCTTAGCCTTGGGGTCGGGAGTTGATGCCACCCCCAAACCCCAAACCCTGAACCCCATATCAACCCGAACGCTTTGGAGCCCGCGCTGGCCTGCTCGAAAGAGGATGGGATCTCCATACCCGCAGGAAGGAGCTTCCTAGGTTTCGCAAATGCCGAGACACCCCAGGAGGATGTGAGGATCTTAACCTAAGGGATAGCTACCCAAACATCAGGCATGTTTCTCATGTTTCTGCTTTCAACTTCGAGTCACAAATTTGGAATTCCCGAACCCTAGCCTCGCCGAGCCCTGATTGCATTACGCCCAATAGGCTAATCACGGCTAATTCCTGCATTGCATACCCGGTGTGTACAAGAGTGAGAGTATAGTTAGAGCTCGCCAGCCTCGAGATTTGAGGATTGATTAGGGTTCTTCTTCCGGAACTTAAGCTTCCTTTCTTCAGCACCTAATCAAGGGCGCATGATCTTCTTTCTGCCGGTTCTTATATGGGGTTTAACAATTAGGCTCGGGCTTAGGGAACCATTACCTACGCGTTTAAGCCTAAATGCTGCGCCAATGCCCAATCGCAGTCCGTGTTTTAGGGTGCCTAATTGTCGTTCTCTGACACAACTATAACCCAGAAAAACACAATGCCAAAACTGTTGAAGGGGGTTGGGAACATCCTCTTTAAACTTTGAGTCCCCCATACTAAACCTGAATACTCACGAAGAAATCTAAACCCCCTAAACGCTCAACCCTAAACTTTCACCGCCTGAAATCCTCACAATTCCCCACATGTACTCTAGGCGTCGATCATGTGGATCGTATCAAGACATGCAGACTCTCTGGCCCAGTGAGCAAAGCCATGGACACTGGAATGGAGCTCAAGGTGTGCCAAATCTGGGGAATATTCGAGGCCACGGTTCCGGAGCACCTCTTCCGCGGTGAAGTGTTCATAGCCTGGGAAGGGTCACATTAGAGATTTGGAGCGGCTTAGGGTTTAGGTTTGAGTCTACAAGGTTAAGGTTTGGGGCTTAGCAGTTTCGGGGGTTTAGAGGGTTGGGTCCATGCGGCTGTGCCCCTCGGATCTCCTTGGGGCTACACCCTGAAACTAAATCCTGAGTTTTTGGTTTAGGGTCTAGGGTCTAGCCTAGCACAACAGCCACAATCCCAAGGACACCGCGACAAGAGAGATGCCACCGGATGGCCCAGGCAAACACCGAAGCTGGTGACCTTCACCTGAGTTTCGGGTTTAGGGTTTCAGTCTTCCAAACGGCTCAAGTGCCAGAATCAAAGGATGTATTGATGTATTGGAGTTTCGGGGTTAGGGCACGACTGCCAGTCGCAGATCTTGGGCATCGCTATTGCATCGTTGCTTGGAAGACGACATGAATGTGTGGGAGTTGCAAAGTGCAGTTGAGATGCGAACGAAAAAAACGCAGCACACAGCCCTTAAAACTTTACAGACCTGTCTCGACCGCCCCCCCCCCCCGCCCCACCTCAGAGGTGGCACCGAGTGAGTGAGTGAGTGAGTGGGTGCAGAGTTCAACGCTCCGGGCCCCGCAATCCGAGCCTGGGATTTGGGAGGGGTGTGCCACCCGAACCTCCATGGGCCCGCCCCCCCAAGCCGGGCGGCTTGAGTTGGAATTGGACACTTGGCAAGACAGCCCACTTCGCAGGAACAAAGCTCTTCCCACGATGATCCCTCACCGAAGTACTAAGCTGGGGACACTGGCTCAGAGACGGGGCATGGTTGGGAAAGGTGGTCGAACAAACACGCACACACGCACAGCACCGGCAGCGAATCTAAGGGCAAAAGCACATTCAGCTGATGCCCTTGTGGCTGCAAATACTCGAACAGTGTCCCCTTGGCGTGTGGGGAGATGCCTGACGCTGAAGGCATCCCCCTCGACCAAAAGGGGGTAGAGGTGGCACCGACATAAGGTTTAGTACGACAAAGCAAGCCTGAGGCCGTGCACCGTTCCCGCGCGGATCTCTGACTCCAGCCATGCCGACTCTGCCACTTCAGAGACATCTGCAATGGTCCTGGCAAGCGCTTTCGGCGTGCTGGGATGTTTTGGATGTCTACAGGTACAGGCCCTGCATAAACCCCCCCCTCCCCCCCCCATTAACATGAGGCCAACATAAGCTTATAAAATGAGGATCATTCGGGCCTTGTTTTCAGCATGCGGGGTAGTTCTGTGAGTTTAGTGTTCGGGGTTCTTGGCTTTCAGGCAGAGACACTTTCTCAGTGGATTTGCAGAATGCAGGCATAGCTTGCAAAGCATCCAGCTGGCCCTTCACCTACTCATAGACCTAGCCCGCGAAACAGTTTCAAGGCTTCTCCAGTATTGAAATTTAGGTTTTGAAAAAACGAACCCTCAACAATGGATCAGAAGTTGCAACAAAAAAGTGTGAGACGCCCAAGAGGCCACCCGAGCAATCTGCACGAAAAAACTCGCAAGCTCGCGGGCTAACCTTAAGGAACGAAAAGCAGGGACGCTACTCCCTAAGCCCTAAACCCTTGGTGTTTTCGGTAGAAACAGGGGCTGCGTAGGGTCGAAGGATTCCGGGACCCTTCCAGTAGCCGTTCATACCCTACCCTGCACCGCTCGCGGTGCGACAGACAGGAACCTTACTTAAGCCATAGCGAGACTCCCGATTGTAGCGATTTAATTCGGCTATCTGGGTGCCGGATTGTATGGTTCGTGAGCAAAATTGACACAGTTAGTTTGGCACCTCCACAAAAAGAAACCGCAATTGGGTATCGAGGAAACTTCTGTATGCCAGGCCCTACAGCTAGATTGTAACCGTCCTAGCAGGCAAGGAACCCCACCCCGAACTATTCCCCTGACCGCCTCAACAAGATTCTCCCAGGATCCCGCTGCCCATCAGTCAATCTAGGCGCTACTTGTACACAAGAACCTCAGGCACCTCAACCCTGCGGATTACCCTACTTACACCCGAAAAACAAAAGAGCGCATGATCTGCACAAGCAACTTCGCTGAGCAATCTCCATGTTTAAGAGCTTCCAGGCGAAACAGGCTGGAAGGTTTGGTTTAGAGAGGGTTTCAGGCTGAGTGATACCTACGGATGCGAAGGGGAGGGGCTTGGGGTTCCCTAACCCCTCGGTCAGGTTTATGGCTGGGGTGTAAGGTTGGATTCGGGTTTAAGGTTTGGTTCAGGGCATAGGGCGTCCTGGCAAGCAGAATCAGCTTGGCGGCAGCATTTCCAGGTACGGGCCTGGATCTTGGAACCCTCAACCGAACACATAGTTTGAAAACCACACTATGAGCATGAAACCCTGAACCTCATGAGTGGTTTAAGGGTCTAGAGGTCTTGGGTTTGGGGTTTAGGGTATTCTTACACATCATTTCATCTGTTTTTGCAGGTAACATGTTGGTTCAGGATCAAATTCATGAAACAGGTTGGCTTAAAGTGAAATGACCATACCAAAACGTGATTTTAGAATACTCCAGTCCAAAATTCAACGGGTAACTTATCCTTGCTAAAAACTGTCAAAATGAATAAACTGAATGAGTAAAGCGTATACACATCCTTGTGGGCGATGCTGGCAACCTTCGCGTGGAAAAGAATCATAAGACGCCTAAATCTAGCACGATATTTCACGTGGGAAGCTCCAGTTAAAAACGAACTCCTGATGTCGTACACATATAACCCTTAGTGCCCTTCCAGGCCCTCCCGAAGCCCTTCTACAAGGTTCCCTCATTAAACTTGCAACCCTAAACCCCAAACCCCAGATATCCTTACCTAAGAATTATAACAACACCCTTAACCCCAGCTATCCTGAACAACGAACCCAAACTTGGCCCTTGGTCGCAGGCTCCACATTCTTCCGCCGCGCCATGTTGAGCAAGTCGCGAGCAAGCCTTTCTTAGGGTTTGGGTATAGGATGTCGGGTTGAGGGTCTACGTACCCGAAACAACTGCCTTATTGCCCTGCGCTATTCTTTAAACACTTTGTTGTTTAGACAAGGTGCAGTGCTTAAGGCTTAGGACTTCGGGTTTAGGGAGCGGAGACTTTCGAGGGACACTGCGGTGCCTGTACGTGAATCCAAACTCTATAATGCATTCACGCGCAGGCCTAGAATAATCTGCACGCTAACCCTAAACCCTGAACCCTACAGTCCTAAAATTTTAACGCCTAAATAGAATTAGCCCTATGCACCCTGCACTCGACACCCTGAAGACACGGCACACAAATACAGTTAACTCGCCGCTGCGCCATCAACAACCAGCCAGATAAGCCCTGCCATTCACAGCAGCCATCTTGCAATCCCTCGACCCCAAACCATTTTGCGCGGGATTCCCACCCCCCCCCCCCCCCAAACACCCTGCCCCTAAACCCTAAACCATGTATCCGCAAATACCTGCAGCCTTCCGACTTCATGAACACAATCCCAGGCAGGGACCTTGATCGGGTGGTCCGCTTGCAAAGGTTTTCCCACATGAGGCAAGCCCTAATTCTGGAACTCCCACATACGCCCAGTGTCAACGACCTGAAAAGTCGTCAAGGCACGTGTGTCAGACACCCCCTCAATAGCTCATAGCTAAACCTACTGATAACTCATCACCGGTCAGCTTCGATTTCCTTAAGTCCACGGTGGTTCCATAGTGCCTGGTGTGATAGCATGTGGTGTGCGAGTGCCAAGTTCATTTGCATGTGATCTCAATTGCCTTCGACCTTGAGGATAGCTTCTTGAATGGCCACTTATCAGAACGAGAGGAACCATGATTTCAAAAAAAAAACTGAGCACCCCCGGAAAACTCTTCAAACCCTGAAACCCTAAACCCTGAGCTCCAAGATCTAAACACCCTGCATGCTGCAGGGGGCTTCTTGAGGAGTTCGCCCGTGCGGCGCGCCGGCACCTGATCCGAGCCAAAGTGTTGAAGATCTTCTACGGTTGAACCCGAAGACCTAAATACTCCAAGACTCTAAACTCCCCCAGCCCTTACGCCCTGAAGCGCCTAAACCCCTTTACAGCCCTAAAATTCCCAAAGCCGTCAAACCATGTGCCCTTAAAGAAGGGAAAATGCCCAACATTGATTGTGGGAATGGTCTTCTGGTTGGTTTCAGAGTACATAGGTAGCTCTATCCTAAACCCCCCAAAACGTTCAGAGTTTAGGGTGCAAGGTTTCGGGTTTGACTTTTAAAGTCTGCATCATAAGCTAAAGCTTCATAATATGGTGCTCAAGGTTTAGTTTGAGGATTCGGGTTAGGGTTTAGGGTTTAAAAACAGGGCTCATGCTTCGCAAATATGGTTTAGGGTTGAGGGGTCTTAGTGTGTGAGGGCTTATGACTTAGGATTTAATAGCTTTTTTTGTTGTTGGCAGAGAGGGGGGGGGAGCGGGTGGCGAGGGATGAGAGTCGAACAGCTGCAGACAATTAGTGCCTTGACGCAAAATCACCGCCAAAGAGCGTGCCAAAGGGGGAGAGATGGGCTACCTTGAGGCTTGACTGAAGCCTTCGAGAAGATGTGTGAAGCAGCACCAAACGATGGGCACTAATTGACATCCTTGCCGAAACCAGCCCGTTTGTGGCCGGCTCCGCCACTACAACCGACAAAGCATGCTAAGCACTGAAGCCTAGAATATCCCTAAGAGCCGTTATATGTTGACGAAGCTTTGAACCCCAAGCCAGAACAACAAGCCCGTTGAAGCCCTGTCAGCCACCTAAGCCTAAAACGCCTACACACCCCCTAAACCCGAAACCCTTAAATGAGCCATGCAAACCCCGAACCCTAACACCCTGTGAGCCCCAAGAGCCCCAAAAGCCCAACGCCCACACCAGCGAAGCCTGAGCCCATTTCGGCGCCTCCAGAGCTATCACATCGAAGCGCTCCTCCAGCTGAGATCGGTCCAACTCCACTTCCATGGCTTCGCTGACAGGGGGTTTTCGGGTTTCCGGGTTTCGGGTACAGGGCTGCGAGCTTAGGGTGTAGGGTTTCGAAGGGGGTTTAGGGTTGAGGTCTTCGAGATTCGGGCGCAGCAGGAAGTAAGGTTCAGCATCACGGCATGGGGTTCGACTCCTGGTAGGGGTTAGGATGTGATGCACTGGCAGCTCCTACGATGCCTCTTGGGAAGCTGATCCGAAGCAGAAATCTCGAGCCGGGGGGGGGGGGGGGGGGGGGGTTTCGACTCAAAAGCCGGAGCTTCTGCTTAAACCCTAAATACTGATCCCGATTAAAGTGCTGAAAACTATTAACAACATCTAGCTGACGCTCTAACACAACCTAAACCTTTCAAGGGGGGCAAAACCCGAAAGCCCTAAAGTGCTGCCTTGTCCGTGACCTCGGCCTTTGTGGTTTCGGCTTTAGGTTTTTAATCTTACGTTTTCTGGGGTTGGGTTTAGGCTTGAAGACTTAAATTGTACTTTGTGGGCCTTTAGGGGCTTACAGTTTAGGGCCCTAAACCAACACCCTTGCGAGCAAGCCCTAAAAACTTAAGCCCACTGAACACCTGAACCCTAAATCCCGCGAAGCACCCTCATCCCATTAAACACACTGAACCCTAAATCCAAACACCCCGCGACGTTGTCAAGTCACGTTTCCGTCCACGCCGCAGGTGGCGAGCTGCTGGAGCACCTGTAGGGTTTGCAGTTTAGAGTCTAGGGCTGATGGGGTTACGGATTACCGCAGCGCCTTCAGAAGGCCCACTTAGCCGGGAGAGGCTTCCTTAGCCTAAACCACTCGCCATCATGTATCGTTCAGATTTAGAGCCCAAAGTATGGAATGCTTGTTAGGGTTCCGGGCTTCCGGTGCATGACCCAACATGTGGTGGATCCAGCTGCGTTGTTACAGGTTTCGACCGGCGCATGCGTTCACAAGTGACACGTGGCCCCAAAACGTTGCGGTTTTCAGGTTATAAAGAGCCCAAATCCAAAACCCTACAGGGCTTAGGGTTTATAGGGCTTTGGCTCTCTGGGGACCCCTAAACCTTTCGGAGTGAGCCCTGAACCCTAAACTCTGTAGGTTTAACCAGGGGTTTTGGGGGGTGAACCCTTCAACCCTGAGCTCTAAACCTAGTCTCCGATCATGGTTTCAGGAGCCGGCTGGCAGCTCCAGGAGCTGCATCACGATGTTCCTGCCGGGCAGGGAGATTTAGGGTTTTGGGGTTTAAGGAGAACAGGCTTAGATACGTCTAGGGCTTATCGGTTTCCGTTTAGGGTTTTTGTGCCATGAGTTGGGGAATATTTTCTCGCAATGATGCCAAGATGAGTCAAGAAAGATTTCCTAATCGAGGGGCTTGAGCTTCTGAAAGTCTCTGAAGGCTAAAATGTAGGCTCTTTCTGAGGTAGGACTTACCTTAAGGCCCGAAACCTTATATCTTTGCACCTTGCCTGAGGACCCTATATGTAGGGTTGTATAACAATCGTAGCCCTCAAGAAGCAAGAGAAGGTTTTGGTACCTGCGATCCAACAATTGTAGGTGCCCAATTGCACAGACTTCGACGCAAAACATCTAATACAGGACCAGTGCAAGAGTGTGGTAACACTGACCAGGGAACACACCCAGCTCATTTAGGGAGCTTTTGAACCCCTTTAAACAAGAGCTTCTGAGCCGCTGGCTCGCCAGTGTATCTCGGCGTGGCTTTAGCCTCCGTGCACGAACCGGGCAACCCAGATCTGAAGACGTTTTCGGGCTTCTGGGGCTGGTTTGGGGGGGTATGTCGGGGAACAGCTTCATGACAAGCTCTCAAGCCCAAGCCTTCAGGAAAAGGGTTCAGGTATGCCACTGCAAGACCGCGCACTTACACCTCTCAGGGTCTGGGCTTTCGAGTCTATTTACGTAACATCCCTACATTGCAAAGAAGCCTAGAAAACAAATAAAAGCGCGCGCACACATGCATGCACGCACACACACCCCCGCATAGCGAACGGAGCAGCGCCTTCGCCTTCTTGCGGTGTGAGCCCGCCGACCCTTGCTCCTCAACAGCTTTGTTGAGCAACGCGCATATGGTTCCATGCTGGCTTAGGACTGATGGGCACGTTGTTTGGGAACTGGGCTCTCCATAGCTTTCGATGAAACAGTTTTCAGGAAGGTTCTATTGCCCGAAAACTCTCAAGCCCTGCGACCGCAATGTCCAACAATCCGAGGTTCTTGCGTAGCTAGAAACGGGGTTATGAGTAAATTGAATACTAGACTGGCAACCTGTTATAACATTAGTCGGGGTGGGCGGGGGCCGGGGTGGAGGTGCTGGTAAGTCTAATTCTCACGCCAGAACCCATGAACCATCAAGTAGCTTGCCGCCTCCTTGCGTTGGCCTTCGATGTCGATGTGCCGCATCCTTACGAGGAACCCGAAACCCCAAAACCTAACCAGGGCTTCAGGCTTGGCTTGAGCCTTCTACGAACGCCAGCCCACCCACTCTCGCAACCCCCCAGCCCTCCGCCCTAACGTGCAGAAGGTGGGAATTTGGAGGGGTTCAGGACTAGTCACTAGGCACTGAGCTTCCCACGGCGGATCTTGCTTCGCGATCTCGGCCTGTTTTTCACCCAACCCTAAGACCGAAACCTGCACCCGAAACCCCCCAGAAAATCCAAGCCGAAGCCCTAACAAGAAAAACTGATGTCCCAAGGTCTTCTAAACCCTAACTCCCTAAGCCCTGAACCCTAGCAAAGCCTCATCCGGAACCCCACGAAAAATAGAACGCCATAACACAGAACTCTACATCACCCTAAATCTTCGTTCGCTGGGATTCGGGCCCGAGGGCCGTTTAGGTTTTGGAGTCAGGCTGTGAGGTTCTGGCTGCTTGCTTTGGGCCTACAGAGGCTTTGGGTTTCAGGGCTTCAGGGTTTCAATTGGCACCTTTCTACTGTTGTGAACCGCACCCCCACCGAATGTCCCTACTCCTCAGAGTGTAGAGCTGGAGATACACGAAGGGTTCCAGGTGCACAGAGCTACAGAAAAGGAGGGTTTTGCAAGGGAACCAGACCATGTGAACAAAAAGAGACTGCAGGGTTAATGGGAATTCTAGGTCTCGAGTTAGAGACCGAAGCCTCCAAATGCTAGAAACAGATGCGCAACGGATGAATAGGCCTTGGTGTTTAGGGTCAGAAGCCTTCTTTTTATAAGCATTTGGGCGGAAATGTGACAGGCATCTGGGTTAGGCGGTAAAGGGCTTTTGCGCACAGCTCTTTTTGCGATCAGCCAGGGAGCAGGACCAGGCTGTTCGAGGAGCATCAGAACCAATGCCCACAAACCCTGGACTCCCTGAGCGCTGACTCCACGACAGACGGGGTAGACGGGTAGATCTTTAAATTCTCTAAATCATGGACCCTTCTCCGCCAAGCAATAAGCCAACACACTACAATCAAGATCCAGACAGGATCCACAAAACTGTCAAGAACAACCCTACGGACCCCAACTAAGTTGTGAGCCATGGGAACTCAAGCCATGCCTCTACATGAGCCTTTTGGGGAACTTTCTTGAAGCTTGTAGAATGGGAATGGCGACTCCAAACCCCAGACCCTAACAAACCCCCCCCTTCCCCCCATGTTGACATTTTTTTGGCTGCGAGCTTGAATGGCATCAGTCTCAGGCGTCGCGGCCACGCAGGCCAGCTTTGGCTGCGGCTCCTTCGCATTTCCCCCCCCCCCACCTTCTTAGTCTTGGTTCTCCAGTTAAGCTCAAGTTGCATACGGCCCTGGATCCTAAAACTTTAAAGGCAGGCTCGGTACATGTTGAAACTTCTTGGAGATCAGGGTTCAGATGTTTCTTGCGGTTTCAAGTTTCATTCCGCTGCCCCTAGATCAGTCCACCATCAAGGTTGTGGAAAGGGGATTCAAGGAGAGGACCGGACCGGAATTCAACTAATCTGCAAACCCTCAAGAGAAGGAAATTAAGCCAACATTCCAGGCATTTTTGTCTTGTTGTAAGTTAAGCTACACTAGGCAGGGTTTCAACCGTCTTGGGGCTGCAGGGCTAGCTGAGCCGCCTTCGGCGCGACCATCGGCGCCGCGCAGCATGGGAGCGGATCCTCAGCGCAGACTCGCCCTGGATGTTTAGGGTTTGGGGTTCGGCGTTGAAGTGTTTAGGAACCAAAAGCCCTAAAGCACTTTGCAAGCCTGGGTCCAGCCTTGCGTACTACTTTGGTGACCATGGAAAGAATTATAAGTTATGTGTATATACATATATACATATGACATGTGCATATATATATATATACACTTATATGTATACTATAACTTTTCTTCTTCGTTCTTGTGCATACTGAAAGTTGCGGGCTTACGCTTCGTAACTAAAACCTCCTACAGTGTTACGTGGAATACACTGGCAGAATCGCCACTCCATACGCAGACGAGATCGAACAGGCTGTCGCTTGCATACAGGTATGTGTTTCAATCAAACAGCAAAGTTGAGCACCTATACATATTCTGGGCAGTATAGGTGCTCAACTCTGTTTCGTGGATCAAATAATTGTAGACTTATGTGCAAATTTGGCAAGATCGAGATCCGCCAGCTCCTGAAACCTCCTAACCCCGAAACATACCAACAGGGAGAGCATGTGAGCAAGTACTTGTATCACCTAGCCCACCCCCCACCTGATATCCTCTTTTGCCACACCTAAGTTTACTGTTATGTCACAAAACTGAATCGCAGAATCAGGTGCCGTCGGAAACAGCAACCGTACTTTGGAGTCTTGGTACTTGGAGGTACACACCGAGAGTACCTAAATACCTTCCGGACACTGCATTAGGTACTTGCAAGTGTATGGGTTTCTCGAGCTAGACCGCTATAGGACTAAACCCTGGGCCCTAGACCGCTTTTGCGCACATAAATACCCTTCAAGTCCGTCTTACGGGTCTAAAAACTCCAGGTATACCCAGCTCGTTCGGCCAAGGCTCTTGTTCTCGCTGGAAGCAGCTGACTCCGTGGGCACCCCATGTACACCCGAAACCCTAAAGCCCCGACGTCTCCAAGGACTCAGCCTTTGCTGCGAGGTGCTTGGCCTCCGCCAACAGGATGTGGGGTGGGTGCGGGGTTTAGGAGTGAGCCCTGAACCTTACCCCCCCAAACTCCAAAACCTCTCAGGACAGATTGGCACCTGAGACCCTTCGAAGCCCGCAAAGGCTGTCAAGCACACCGTGACATCCCAAGGTCCTGCTTAGAAAAACCATAGATGCCCCAATCCTGGTGCGACATCTTGTTACACAAGGGCTGGATATTAACGACTCCAAGCTTTATGGAGGGCTACTTGAAAACAAAAACAACCTGAAGTAGGACTTTTGCGAAGTTTAGGGGGAATGTGGAACCCTCAAAACAACCTCTGCACCCTGGCTTCTGTCGGCCTCCTCGTCGTAGAATGTCCTCTTCCAGGCAGCGTCGTCACGCAACGCCATGATGAGAAGGTTCCTGGGCGAACTGATGGACCTGAGCCCTCAACCTTAGACTAGGTTTCAGGTTTGAGGTTTTGGGCTTAGTGTAGCATAAAAGGAGGAGTAGAAGTAACAGTAGTGTTCGTGGTCGTCGGAAGAGAGGAAGCAGAAGTGTCATCCCACCCTCGAAACCCTGCAATTCAACAACAACCTGAGGACTCACAAGCCTAAACGCTCGACCTTCCTAGAGGCTTCTACCCGAGTCCATTTCTAAGGTACAGGTTGGATATGATTGTATGGAAGTTCGAACACCCTCCCCAGGTGAAGGGCAAGCCCGCAGGCGAACCTGACACCTTAAACACCTAGAAACCTACGCGCCCTCAAATCTTCTAACTGCCTCAGCAGCCGTAAAATCCGAAACTAGTGTAGAACTCAATCTCAAAAGTCCCGAACACGATTTAGAAGCCATTCCTGCTTGGTATTTAGGGATAAGGCAGCCCAGTAAACCCTTGCCGAGGAAAGCCACCCTTCACCTACGGGGTAAACTCTGGAATTCCCCGAAGCACTCAGGACTCTTGCGTTAGGCCAGGCTTTAGAGGTTTCAAGTTTCGGGTTGCAAATTGTGCTTCTTGTTTGGAGGGTTGAGGGGTTTTTCTTGGCTTTCGAAGGCTCTAGGGATGCCTTTTTCAGGGCTTCGGGATCCAGAAGCCCTGCAATATCGAGCTTTTGGGACCTAAACGCTACCCACAACAATGGTCTGCTACGATGGTGGCGGTCCTAAGCCCTAAGCACCAGCCCTGAACTCGCTCCGGTGGGTACTTTAAGGGTCCAAGTAGGGGGTTTCACAAGCCTCTGACACTCTCAGGCCGAAGAACCACCGGCTGCCCGACTTCAACTTTTCCTTGCGGCTTCGAGGTCTTCGTGGATTTAAAGTAGAAGGCTAAGGGGGTTCATGTGTGAAATGTGTAGCAAGAAGCAGAGTCGCAGGTGCCCTTACAATCTGAATATGAATTGTGCCCAGTTGTAAGCAACTGTGGTGACGCCCGATTGGGCCCGGCGCAAGTGATCCTAAAAACTCTGTGCGTCTTGGCCCATGTAACTTGGCGACCAAATTGACCACAGGCCTACGTTAATTTGCCTTCTGAAAAAAGCGCGCAATTTTCTGAGTTCGCCTCAGAGCTGCGGACTTCCGCAATGCTGGCGCGTATCCATTAAGCTTGCGGCTTCGCTGTAACTTGCAACTGGAGAGATACTCGCCACCTCTGCTAACGGGAGCCCCTCCAACCCCTCCAGCCCTCCAGCACACAGAGACATACAGAGACACACACACACACAGACACACACAGAGACACACACACACAGAGACACACTCACACACACAGAGACACAGACACAGACACAGACACAGAGACACACACAGACACAGACACAGAGACACACACACACACACAGAGACACAGACACAGACACAGACACAGAGACACACACAGGCACAGACACAGACACAGAGACACACACACACACACACAGACACAGACACAGAGACACAGAAACAGACACAGAGACACAGACAAAGACGCAGAGACACAGACACAGACACACAGACACAGACACAGACGCAGACGCAGAGACACAGACACAGACACAGACACAAACACAGACAGACAGACACACACACACACACACAGACACAGACACACACGCACACACACACAGACACAGACACACACACACACACAGAGACACACACACACACAGACACACACACACACACACACACAGACACACACAGACACACACACACACACAGAGACACAGACACACACACACACACACACACACACACACAGACACACACACAGACACACACACAGACACACACACAGACACAGACACACACAACACACAGACCACACAGACACACAGACACACAGACACACAGACACACAGACACACAGACACACAGAGACACACAGACACACACACAGACACACAGACACACAGACACACAGACACACAGACACAGAGACACAGAGACACAGAGACACAGAGACACAGAGACACAGAGACACAGAGACACAGAGACACAGAGACACAGAGACACAGAGACACAGAGACACAGAGACACAGAGACACAGAGACACAGAGACACAGAGACACAGAGACACAGACACACAGACACACAGACACACAGACACACAGACACACACACACACACACACACGCAGAGACACACACACACACACATACACTCACACTTAGACTTAAACTTACACGTAGACTTAGACTTACAGTTCCCCTTCCACTTCCCCTTCCACTCCTACTTCCATTTGCACTTGCGCTTACACTTACACACTCTTTTCAACAGTGATTTATGCTGCCATTGACACAATGGATGGGTTTCGCGCTTGTTGCAGGAAGGGTTTCGAAGACATTGATCACTGGCCCAGCAGAAGAAGCAACACTAGACGTCTACAGCATCTGTCTCAGGGAACAACCGAATTTCGAAGAGAAGAAGGTTGTTAAGCATTCACACAGATCTCTGCAGCTTATAAGAAGCGGATCGCCTACCGCGACAAATCCCCCCCGCGCAGGGATGACTAGGATTCGGCTGTTCGCTCCTTTCTTGCAGTTCCCCCGTTGCTTTCCCAACAGGGGAGGAAGCTCCAAGAAACCCAAGCGCTGAAATGTAGCCTGGCTGCCACAGCGTGCCAACGATCACCAGGATGAAGCAGAGCCATGCCAACCTCCTGTGCGTGGGTTTCCAAGAAAGGGAGCCTTAAACTGAATCCCAAGGCCATAGCATTCCAGGCCCTAGGATCACCGCGCAGATCTCCCGGTGCTAACTTCCATAGGGCTTGCTCGGGCTGGTGGGCCCTTGGTGTTTTAAGTCGATCTGGAGTTTCAGGGCTTAGACCCCTTTGGGCCCTTAGGGTTCTCGGGCTTCGGGTGTACCTCGTAGAGTTTCTTTGTGGTTGGCTTGCAATAGGATCAATAATCAGGGTACAGGCTACAGGCTTTAGGGCCGCAGAAGCCTTGACAACTGGTTGGAGCTTGTCGAAAAGAATCGAACCTCATCCAGAACAGTAAAGCCACAAACAACAACGACCCTAACCTATGCGGCGCAGCAGAGGCCAGTAGAATCTGTGCAGCTGCAGCTGGGGTTCAGGGGTGAGCTCAGACCATGAACTATACCTGCCTTGGACTAGTTGGAGCCTCTGGGAACCCTAAACCCAATCCCGGCAGGGCCTGGTGCCGATAGTGCAGCATGCTGCCCTGCACAAGTCGAGATGACTCGATTTGTCTTTTGGTGTTTGCCTTGGTCAGCTACATTTGTGTAAGCCCTAAACACTACAAACCTACAGCTTTACAACTTCTACAAGCTTGACACCCAAAATAACGAAAGAGAGACTGAAGCCCTAACGTCCTAAACCCAAAGCCCTGAAGCCTTAAACCCTTAAAGCTCAAAAGCCGAATCCAAAGACTACTGCTAGCGGCCTAAAGTTCCAAGCCCCGGCCCCGGACAGCCAAAACAACCTGGAACCCTAAAACCCCAGAAGGACTAAAATACTTAAAGTCCGAACTCTGAGAAGCAAATATTGAACCTGGCATGTTGGGGTCTTTTACCAGGGCTCCCCCCTGGTTGTTGAACTAGTTTTTCCAAAGATCTCAATCCTGAGAGAGTAACGGTGAACCCTAAGCCCTCAACCCTACTCTGCAGACTGCCTGGGTTTGTAAGAGTTCATGGGGATTTGGGGCTTGTAGGGTTTTTAAGATACAGCCGTTTGTTTAGGGTTTGGTGGCTTTGGGGTTGTTACGGTCCGAGGGCTTAAAGGTGTTGCAAGAGTTGAGGGCTTGGGGGCGTGAAGGGCTTCAAGGCGCAGCAGGTTGTTGAAGGTTTAGTGGGCTTCACTAGGGCTCAGGGTCGAGTTCGCATGGAAGACCAGGCCCCTCGAGCCCTAGAGCAGATGCCCTAATTAACAACCCATGGAGGGTACCCTGGTGGGGGGGGGTGTGAGCGTGGGGGTCAACCCGAAACCCTCGACAAACCCTGCACCAAGGAACGGAATATAGGGGTGCTGGGCATCCTCATCCCTAAAGATAGAATAAATGTGCAGAAGCTTCCCCCCGAACCCGCACCGTGCCTTGTAAACTCCCGGCTCCAGCCGGGGTGTTCCACACGCAGTATCCTAGTCGGAATTCGGGTTTGGGGTTCAGGTCGGACCTACGATGATAAGGGGGCACATGCTGTTCGTTCTGGCCCTATAAGGGGCATAACAGACTGGGTGCGCGCCCCGCAAACGGCACGACCTGAGCCCCTGAACCACCAAACGCCTGCAGCAAACGCTTTCACAAAGCCGACCACTAAGCCTGCACTCGCCAAATTTCCTGCGAAGACCAAACTACTAACCTTGTACCCTGAAATGCCCATAAGCTCAGGGTTCCACAAATTAAGGCTTGTGGGGTTTCGGACCCTGTGAAGCCGACATACCCCCCACAGCGGAGCCTCTGGGGTCGGCGACAGCAGAAGCAACTCGGCCCCCTCGTAACCTGTCGGAGATCCCAGGAACCTTGCGGACGAGAAAGTATAAAGCGTACCATCCCCATAATCAAGCCCATACACAAGGGCTTTTTTATCTTCCTGTCGGGGTCAAGTAGCTCATCCCGATAGGGTTTGGGGTGCTCTTGTGCCTTGAAGTACCAGGTTTTCTATCTGAACCAAAGGGATGTAATTGTACCATACCTGTAGGGACCCCCAGTAAGGTTGAGGCTCTCCCCTAAACGCTAAACCCGAGAAGGGGCCATAATCCGCGAGGTCAGGAGGTTCAGGGATTGGGCTGCGCGAGTGCAGGGAATAGTCTCGGACTTGGGCACCAGGGTCCGAAAAGCCTTTGGCAGCCAGGCTCCCGAAATCCTGAACCTCAGCCTCTGGAAAATGCCCCTCAAAGCCTGGAATTTGTGCACCAACAGAAATAGAAACCCTTAAAACGTTATCAACACCTTAGAGGGCTACAACAAATCTAAAACCTTAAAGCCTTAACTTAAGCTGCAGCTGCACACCCAAACCCTACAATTCATGCTTTGACTGTGGCCCCCGGTTTCCTGAGAGCCCACTTCCTTCTTTTTGTTGTGTAAATGCTGGGGCCCTTACACCCTAGACGTGGAACCCCTAAACACTACGCCCCAAATTCCAAACCCCAACCCCCCTACACAAGCTTTACATTTCAAGTAAATCTAGGTGGACTCTCTTGGCTTCTGTCAAGAAGCACGTTGATAGTCAGGTCCGAGTCGTCCGTGTGAGCTTTCAAGCCAGAGTCTCTCCCTTCCTGCAGCTACGGGTTGGGGTTGAGGGTTTAGGCTTCAAAACCCAGACTTACAGCGTTTGGGGGAGAAACCCTTCAAGGGTCCCACTAGTACATTAAAACGAGTACAGGGTCTCAACTGGGGGTCATACTTTCCAATCAATTCGGGGTTTGGGAAGCTTTCAGAGCTTGTAGGTCATCTTCCGGACTTCGGCAGGTTTAAAGATTCGGATTGGACACAACCTCTTGTTTCTGATATCTGCATCTGCATCTACATATGTCTATACGGGATACAGACATACCTTTTTACTACCAGGACAACTACGCATGAGCCTGCAAGCAAAGAAAGTACCAATCTGAGTCCTCGTAGGTGATGCAGTAGACCTGCTGATAAGCCTGGGCTGATGTACCCGGCCCACGGCGCATGTTCGGCATAGGGTTTAAGGCACATTCAACAACAAGCTTTGCGAGCTGCAAGGTCCAACAGAAATGCAAGTGCTAGGATTTTACCCAGGAGCAAAAGCACTCCATGACCCACTCGAACCCTACACCCCCAAACGCCTCAACCCGAAACTTTAAATAGGGTCTTCCCCTGCAGCCGTATCCCGCTGGAGTTCATGTAGCTTATGCCGGATTGGGAGCGCGATGGCCGTTCCACCGGAGATCTCCGGGGCTCTCTGTCAACTTTGTACAGCTTTCAGCAACCTTGAAAAAATACCAAACAAAGGCAACAAGCTTCCCACAACTCTGAACCCTAAACCCTAAACCCAGATCCACGCGGCAATTCGGTGGTCTTCCGAAAACAGAGCTTCATCGACCACTTGGAGCACATCCTTGGCGGGATGCAGACTGGATACCCACAAAAACCTTTCCCCTAAAGGGGTTTTCAGGTTTCATCCTCAAATGACGCAAGGAGAGTTCCCCAAACCCAAGTGTACCTGAGGCGCCATGACCTCCCTGAAGGAATGAAGGTCGAGCCTGGCATGCCCCCCCCCCCCCCCCCCCCCCCCCCCCCCAAAGAAAAATAAAACATGTGTGCTTGTGTGAGTGTGTGCGTCTTGACGCCCCCCGAAATCGGAAAGAGCACACGTGGAAGAAACCGACACCCCAAATCCCGAAGCTTCGCGACCATTGTCGAAGGTCCTCCCCTTGTAACCCAAGTCTCTAAATCGAAAGGCTCTTGAACGGAAAGCTCCGAATTCACCAGCTTGAGAGACTGCGAACGAAGCAAGCTGCCACAACCCCTTCAAAATCTGAAAGCCATACGCCCTAACTTCACTCAAACCTTCAGTTAGCCCGTATTCAACCCTGATTACACAGTCCCGGAAACCTCGTGAACCTGACTCATCTGTCGACAGATTCTAAGTGCAAGTTGCGTGGGGTGGCACGCTTAGGGTTTAGGGGTATACGCACCTTTGCCACATTACCCATGCCTGCTATCCAAAGCACATGCAACCCTAAACCCTTAGCCCTGAACCCCGCAATCCTGAATCCTAACACCGAGAACCCGAGACCTTGAACCCCTCAACCAAACCCCTTCTGGCCTCAACCCAGAGTGAGGTCCTCAACATGCCGTGAGGTTGCAGGTTCAGAGCTCAGGAGCTAAGTAGGCTCCCCATCCCCTTCTAACATGCAGTCAAATGGCTTGGGATCTTGGGATAGGTCTCAGAAGGTTGAACCTCCAATTGAACCCTTGAACCCTAAACCGCTAAAGCCTGATAATGTTCGAGCTCTGGGGCGCATGCATTCGGGGCCCAAAACCCCAAGACCTGAATGACGTAGTCCAGGCAGCTTTGAGTAGGCAGTCGAACACTTGATGCAAGCGCTTGCTGATAGAGTTCAAGTACCTCAAGGATTAAGGATGAGAGTGGTCCTGCGACTAAGTGAGGACCTCCAATGACTTCTAGGCATTTGTCCCAAGGTTTCTATGGTGGATTCGAGCTGGAGGTAGTGGGGGCCCCATGCTCGAGCCATTCCCGTAGACGCTAAACACTGCGAATGTTGAGAACAGTTCGGCCAAGCCCCCCGTGATCTCAAAAATGCCAGTCCGGTAGAAGCCCTCTGCGTCCCTTAAAAGAGCCTTCCTAGTTCGCGCCGGCCGCGCCATAGCGCCTTTCCTATGTGTGTGGATTTGTCAATTTTACGTTCTTAATGGCTGTGGGGGATACGGAGGTGAGCTGTAGAGAGCGGACTGCTGCATTAGTCCAGTCTCATCAGATCATCATGCCCTCCAAGCCCTTACATGCGCGAACTTTCTGTGAGCCCTACACCCTAAACCCGCACTAACCCTAAGCCCGGTAGACGCCCAAACCCTAAACCGCACTGGAAGCGCAGCTGGCCGGAAGCCGAGAGCTGTACAATGATACTATTGACTTCTGTGCTTTCGGGACTAATGCGACCCTCATGAAGGACGGGGTTACAGAGTACAGGGGCTATTTCGGGGACAAAAAGGAGTGCCACAACTTCCAAAGTGGCTTGAGGTATGCACTTCGCAGGGAAACATACCCAATAGCAGCAGAAGGCAATGAAAAGAGTACATGAGTCACTTTAGGCAGGCCCAGCAACTTAGATGCCATGGGGCCAGCGGGAGTTCAAGAGGAGCCCCGGCGAGAGGCTGCCTGCGGACTCTTTGAAAGTGCGGAAGTTCAGCACCTGCGCGTCGCTCCACGTGTGGGGCTTAAAGATGCTGAAAGCCGAACCCCCAGGGAAATGAACGTCTGACTTTTCAGAGCTGCGTTACGTAAAAAGAAAAGCGATCAAAGCACACTTAACAGCACGGAATGATATGTTAACAAAAAGGTCTTGGAATGTGAGGGCTTGCGGTCTATGGCTTCTTCAATAGAGTTTAGGGTTGAGGGTTCACAAAAGTGGATCTACACGGAGGTGTCGCCTAGTTGTACCGGGCCTTACAAGTCCCTTACCCTGAGCAAACCCATGATAATACTATGCGGGTTAGCCAAAGTACAATGCGAAGACAGAAGCCCAACAAAAAAACAAAACGACACGTCATCAAAACAACTGGACAGCCTAGTCGAACTGAAGTAAATATCTCAAGGTTGCAGGGTTTATTTGGTGGATCCCCCCAAGATACAGGAACCCCAAATCGCAGGTAGAACATGTCCATAGATCTTACTATTATGTTCGGTATTTTGTCCCTGGCGTTCCTTTTTGGCGTTCGGCCGTTAGGGGAGTGCAGGTAGAAACTAGTGACCGCCCATGGGCCCATGAGATGACAAGAAAGGTCATCCACCAACTCGAGCTTAGAGTTTCGGGCTTACAGACTCAGAGCTTCGGGCCGATAATTTTAGGGCTTAGAGCGAGTTTAGGGAAAATGGGTTGCAATGCTACCCTCGTGCTGCACGTCACTAAACCCTATGAACCCTGCGCCTCCACTCGAAAACCGGAAACTCTTGTGAGCATGAAGCTGCGACGCCTCTTGCTGAAGCCGATGGCAGAAACCAGGGTCCAGAAGCCTGGCGAGGGAAGCGTAGGAACGGGTGTAGCGTTCGTAAGGCTCAGGGCTTACAGTATTTAAATGCTCGAAGTTTAAGCGGTTATAGTAGGGACCCCTTGAAGCGACCCTTACCTACTAGCCTACACAAATCTTTTGCTCACATAAATTTTATGCACGCCCATCGTCTGGGCTTCAGATTTGGGTTTGATCCTGGGAGCCTGTACTGCCAACTCCCCCCTACCCAAATAAGGCCCAGATAAGGCTTAATTTGGGACTGACTGGAGCTTACGTACTTTAAGTTAAAGATGCGGTTTGAAGTTTGTAGTTTGGGGCGAAGGAGTATAGGATCCCACCCGAAAGTCAGAGGATCCCAGATGATGATCAAGCCGAGGTGAAACTACCCGCATTGTAATTCTGAGAGCCTGGGTCTGCCCCCAAATCCGATGAACAATCCTCCACAAGATCCCCTATTGGAAGTGGGTCCCAAGGCTCTGAGAGTGCCAAGGCCCAAGGCAGACCTACAGTGCCTTGAGGGCTGGTTTCGATACAAAAAAGGCCCCGAACCGAATACCAAGCGGCTTCCACCTGAATCCTTGCAGCAGGGCGGCGGCAGCGTGAAGGCATCTTGGAGGTGCTGTTTGGCGAGACCTTCTCTGAGGTCTAGGGGCTTAGGGTTTAGGGTTTACTGTTCAGGGGTTTAGAGTAGGGTTTAGCGATAAATGGTCGAGCTTCCGAGCCGGAGGTCTTCTCATGGTAGCTTCTTTTGACCTCCCTAACGGCAACCCAGTCTTGGGGAAGGCACAAAGCACCCCAACCCGAAAACTCAACATTGCTTAGGTGCGGCCCTTCAAGGTACCCATAATGGCTACTGTAATGGCTATGTTGAGGATTTTAAACTCGGAGCCACTGTAAGGCTTAAATACATAATCCACAAACATGCGTAAAAGGATGCATAACTTTGACAGCTTATCCGCGTGTCCGTTTCAACTCGGCCAAGCGACTTTGAATGGCTGCCTGCACCGGTTAGAGTCTGGGTCTTAGGCTTCAGGGTTCAGGGAGGCTGTTTTCTGGGAAGCTGGGCAGCTGCGTCATGGGTTGAAGGATGTCAACTTCACATGCTTTCATCCGTGACTCCACAGCACCCAAGCACTCTGATTCCCACATCATCCCTCATTGCATGCATCCCGAACATGACAATCCTGTTCACTCCTTAGATCCTCGCAGTCCCTTGCGGCCTTTGCGTCATCTTGGGCCAGTGCGTGGCGAAGCTGGGAAGAGATTATGGCATCGACGGGGATCACTGCCAACTCCTCATCTCTCCTCTGCAAAAGCTTGTCGCTTAGGGCTTAAGCTGCAACCCCAAAGCCTCCCAACCGTAGCAAGCCCATCTACACAAACGAAGGCCTTGTTAATCCATAAACACAAAAGGCAGGACACGAACTCATTTAGAAGGGTTCTGCGAAGTGCAGAGATTAAACTTTACTAAGCCAAAGAATCTGATATCCAATGGTCCTTGGACCCCAACCTGTAAAGCGAAGGATTGTTTGTGGCCTAAGTTTTCGGATCAGGCTTTTGTCTTGGGCCAAGGCCCAGACACCGAAAAAAATTACTAGCACTCTAGAACAAGCCCCAAACCCTAAACTGCAAACTGGAAACCCTGGACCCTAAGCTTTCAACCCTACACTTAGCTAGTTACTAAAGCCCTGAAGCCCTATGAGCCCTTAACCCTAAGCCGAGCATGGAAGCTCCGAAGCCTGCCGTGTTAATCATGAGGAGCCCGGAGATGTAAGGAAGGGGGGGCAGTAGATTGGCCCAACATTTAAGTTTTGCTCTGGACTGTGGGCTCATTTGGGCCTGTTTGGGGAGTATGTGCTCTGTCACCCCACTCCCTTACAACCCCCCCCCCCCCCCCCCCCCAGCTTCCTTATGAGTTGAAGACGAGTTGCAGCTCATACTGAGGCATTCGGTTGCCCATGGCGGCAACGGATTTGGTGGTTGGTCTCAATTCTGGACTAGGCCTTTGGCTCTAGATTTAGTGATCCCTTGTACAGTTCAGTGTACCAAGCAGTCCGAAAAATAGACAAACCACCATTTGGGTAGGGGTTTTGGTTAAGTCAAGGACCAAGGATTGAAGTGTTCGGATGTAGCGTTTAATGCATTTGATGGTGGCCATGCGGCGCCGCCCGGCAGTATTCGAGGGCTGCAAGGTTTCATGAGCGGAAAACAAACTTGGTGTGTAGCGAACAGCAATCTACTGTCACCAAAACTAAAACCAAAAAACAGATACAGGTGAGACAGGAAAACGACGAACTAGGGAAATGATATCATGATAGCCATGATTGCTTACAAAAAAGCAGGGGAAGGATGTAAGAGGGCCACGAACCCAACAGGGCCGGTGGCCAAGAAGCCCCTGAGCCAATGCAAAAAGACGGCCACAAGGCAAGAGAATCTTCCCAAACCTTGCTCGTTCTGCCTGGGACATTGGTAGGTTCCCCTGTGGCCTAGACCTAGCCTGGAGAGCAAAGTCCTTTGTTGCTTAACTTGGGCCCTGTCGAGCCAGCCAAAAAAAGTTCCAAAAGCCCGAAAAGCAAATGCCTCAACCCTAAACCCTCGAACTTAAACTATAAGCCCTAACTGGCCCTAACACCCTGCCTTGACGAAATCCCGCCAGGGGTCACCCTGGCCGCTCCTTGGCGCTGGAGCCATGGTAGGGTTCGGCATGGGCTTTACAATGTTTTAGTTTAATTTAGGGTTTAGGGTTTGGAGCTTAGGGGCTGTAAAGTGTTTAGTTCAGACTTAGACTTAGGGCTGCAATGTTGAATCCTGACTAATTGTTGTGATTTCGCCACTTGCGCATGCTGTTATTGACGTCGTCCCCTGGATCTGTAACCCTGAAGCTACAAGAACGGGCAGAAGGATTGAGAGCGCAAGAACAATCGCCTTTACTTGCCTGACCACCACACTTAAAAGGCCTTCAGACCCCAAACACCCTTCTCAGGGGACTCATGGTGCAGAATTGTGGGTGGAAACCTCTCGGGTCTACAATCCATAGTATTGTACACATGTGCTCAGACCGAGAAGTGCGCCCGGAAATGAGGGCGACTAGGAGGGCATCACCCGAATCTGTCTTCAACTTGAGGGGAAGCTCCCAGATTTGCACTCTGAAGGCCCTTAAACCAGTGAACCTTAAACCCCTCACGTCGACGCCACTTGTACCATCGAAAGGGGCCTGAATTCAAGAGTGGAAGCTGGGCGCAGGTCTCGTAGACCCTGCCAGGGGGAGATCTGACCTAGGCGCATGAGGGATCAGGATTCGTCAGGGTTCGAATTATAGCATAGCATCAGGAACACCCGTTTTGAAAGGTGCCCCTTTGGGGTTTAAACCCTGAACCCTAAGCAAACTACATGTAAGGGTCTGAGTAACCCTGAGCTGTTGAGACCGCTGCCAACGACAAGTCCCAGGCCAGAATCCTCCGGCTGCAGTTGGGGTTGGTTGTTTGGAGTTTAGAGCCTAGGGCTTAGGGATTTGGAAGGGCTTCTGGGGAGGAAAGATTAGCAGCTAAAGGGGCTTATGTAGGGTCGAAGAGCCTGAAAGGTCTTGGCCTTCTTTTGCGAAGTTTAGTGTTTTAGGACTGCGTTAGGAGTTTAGGTTC